TTTCTTTTGTAATGTCTTTTTCTGGTTTTAGAATCAGGATCATGATGGTTTCATAAAATGAGCTTGGGATATTTTCCTCCTCTTGAATTTTTTGGAATAGTTTGTAAGATTAGGTGTTAATTCATTTTTGAATATTTGGTAAAATTCACCTGTGAATCATTGGTGCAGGATTTTTGTTTGTTAGGAGTTTTTTTATTACTGCTTTCATTTTGTTGGTAATAATCTGTTCATATTTTCCGTTTCTTCTTGATTTGGTATTGGAAAGTTGTATGTTTTTTAGGAATTGACCCATTTCTTCCAGATTGTCCAATTTCTTGGCATAGAGTTGTTCATAATATCTTCTTATAATCCTTTATATTTTTCTGTTGTCCATTGTCACTTCTCTTTTTTCATATCTGATTTTATTTATTTGGGTCCTCTCTTTCCTTTTATGAGTCTGGTTAAAGGTTTATCAATCTTGTTTATCTTTTCAAAGAACCAGCTCTTGGTTTCAATGAACTTTTATATTGTTTTTTTAGACCCTATTTTGTTTATTTCTAATCTGATCTTAATTATTTTACTTCTTCTTAACTCACTTTGGGCTTTGTTTGTTGTTGTCCTTCTAGTTCCTTTAGGTATAATATTAGATTGTTCACTGGAGATTTTTGTTTGTTTGTTTTTTGATTTAGGCTTGTGTTGGTATGAATTTCCCAATTAGGGCTGTTTTTGCTGTACCCATAGATTTTGGGTCATTGTATTTTCATTTTTATTTGTCTTCAGGTATCTTTTGATTTTCTCCTGATCTCATTGTTAACACATTTATTGTTTAGTAACATGTTATTTAGTCTTTGTTTGTTTGTGTGCTTTTCACTTTTTTTTTTTTGTACTCGATTTCTAATTTCATACCATTGTGGTCAGAGAAGGTGCTTGATGGGATTTAAATCTTTTTAAATTTACTGAGAACTGTTTTTTTGCCCAACATGTGATCTATCCTGGGAAATGTTTCACTTGAACTTGAGAAAAATGGGGTTAAATCTTCTAAAAATATTTAAATCCATTTGCTTTAATGTGTCATTTCAGTCTGCTTTTTAAAAATTGATTTTCTGTCTGGAAAATCCATTGATGTCAATGGAGTGTTAAAATCCCTTACTATGACTGTATTATGGTTGATCTCTTCCTCTATGTCCTCTATCACGATTTACTGTATGTATTTAGATGCTTTTGTGTTGGGTGCATAAACGTTTACAAGGGTTATATACTCTTGTTAAATTGATCCCTTTATCATTAAGCAATAAACTTTTAAAATTACCTCTTTGTGAGAGTATTTCATATGTTGCCTGCCCCAACTGAAAGATAACCAACTCATGCTGGCCTGGTCAATTAAACATAACATCTGGCAGAATCTACCACATGGCTCTACATCAGAATGGGATGGAAATAACAAATCAAAGTTATAATTTATGTCAGGAATCTTTTACTATGTTCTTCTCTTTGTTCCATAGACATTTAAAATGTGTTTCTATAACATTTATTTGGACAAATAAGGAGACATATTTACTTTATTGAAAAATAGGTTTATTTAAAAATGAGGTGTCTTTTTGTATATTAGTTGCTCTGACCAGATGAAGGACAGATAATATAAGAGATTCATCAGGGCAAAAATAAGCCTTACATAAGTTATTGAAACTCATTACTCTTTTTTTAAATATATTTTATTGATTATGCTATTACAGTTGTCTGATTCCCTCCTTCATTCCCCTCCAACCTGTACACCCTCTCCCACCCACTTCCCCCCCTTTAGTTCATGTCCATGTGTCATACTTATAAGTTCATTAGCTTCTACATTTCTCATACTATTCTTACCCTCCCCCTGTCTATTTTCTACCTACAATCTATGCTACTAATTCTCTGTACCTTTTCCCCCCTCTCTCTTCCTCCCACTCCCCTGATGCTAACCCTCCATGTGATCTCCATTTCTGTGGTTCTGTTCCTGTTCTAGTTGTTTGCTTAGTTTCTTTTGGTTTTGTTTTAGGTGTGGTTGTTAATAATTGTGAGTTTGCTGTCATTTTATTATACATGTTTTTTTTATTTTCTTTTTCTTAGATAAGTCCCTTTAACATTTCATAAAATAAGAGCTTGGTGATGATGAACTCCTTTAACTTGACCTTATCTGAGAAGCACTTTATCTGCTCTTCCATTCTAAATGAAAGCTTTGCTGGATAGAATAATCTGGGATATAGGTCCTTGTCCCTCATGACTTGGAATACTTCTTTCCAGCCCCTTCTTGCCTATAAGGTCTCTTTTGAGAAATCAGCTGACAGTCTGATGGGAACTCCTTTGTAGGTTATTGTCCCCTTATCTCTTGCTGCTTCTAGGATTCTCTCCTTCATTTTTACCTTGGCTAATGTAATTCTGATGTGCCTTGGTGTGTTTCTTCTTGGGTCCAACTTCTTTGGGACTCTCTGAGCTTCCTGGACTTCCTGGAAGTCTATTTCCTTTGCCATAATGGGGAAGTTCTCCTCTATTATTTGTCCAAATACGTTTTCAATCTGTTGCTCTACCTCTTCCCCTTCTGGTACCCCTATAATTTGGATGTTGGAATGTTTAAAGATCCCCTGGAGGTTCCTAAGCTTCTCCTCATTTTTTTGAATTCTTATTTCTCCATTCTTTCCTGTTTGGTTGTTTCTTTCTTCCTTCTGGTCCATTCTTTTATGGTAACCTGCATTTGTTCATCTAATTTGCAACCAAAATCAACCAGGTCTGTGAGCTTCCTGATCACCAGTGTTTTGAACTGTGCATCTGATAGGTTAGCTATTTCTTGGTCGCTCAAAAGGATGAGTTCTGGGGCACTGATTTGTTCTTCTGTTTGAGCCATCTCTCTCTCTCTCTCTCTCTTTTTTTGGCGGGAGGGTCTTGTTGCTCCTGTTATGGTAAGGGGAGGAGCCTAGGTGTTCACCAGGGCTGGGCACCCCAGTTGCTAGATTGTGACGTTGTATGTGAGCGCAGGGAACAGTGGCGGTAGCTCCGTTCTCTGTGGGACCTCAGTCCCTTCCTTGGGATCCTGGGTTGCAAGCTCTGCCCTGCTCCACAATTGCTGCCTCACTGGGTCTGCCAGCTGCCGCTTGCATACTCAGGGTCCACCCACTGAGATCTTGCATGCCCCAGATGCCTAATGCACCCAATTCTCCTTGTTCTCTGCGCCCTGACCCGTGCCGGCTGCTCATTTCCGCCCCTCCTATTGGTCTGGATGAACGGGTCTATTTCAACTTCTTGGCTGTCTGACTTCCATTCAGATAAATTTTCTGTCAGTTTTGGGTGTTATTCTGCCTCATTGTTGTTGTTCCCATCTTGGTTGTGCGTGGAGGTATGGTGCATCCACCTATGCCTCCATCTTGGCTGGAAGTCATTACTCTTTTTTAAAAATGATTTTATTAATTTACCTTTAAAGAGAGGGCAAGGGAGGGAGAAAGAGAAGGAAAGAAACATCAATGTGTTGGAGATACATTGATTGGTTGCCTCTTGCATGCCCCCAACTGGGGGCCTGGCCTGCAACACAAGCATGTGCCCACAAGCAGGGCTGAGTATGACTTGAACTGGTGACCTTTTGGTTTGCAGGCTGGCACTCAATCCACTGAGCCCCACCAGCCAGGGAGAGACTCATTATTCCTAATACATTTCAAGTTCTCTTTTGAAAGCAATAAATATTTTTTTCCATCTAACAAATAAGAATATTCCTTGTTAATTTGCTGGCAGCTATTCCCCCTAAATAAAATGAACTCTCAAGGCCACCATGGTGTGTGTGTCCACCTGTCCCAGCTCCTCATCTGCCATTATGTGAGTGGGAAAGTGTTATCATCAGGAAAGTTATTCATTGGGCTTTTCATCTTCTTTTTTAAAAAATTAGTTTGTAAAAGTCTTTTTACAGACTGATATGTTTGCAGTACATACACATGTGTGAACTGCAGCTAGCCACTGCTAAACCCAGAATATGTAACTGAGGAACAGCCTGTGGAACATGGAAGTCACATGCAGGAATATGAATAGAGACAGTTCATGACTTTGCTGGAGATGCTCACCCTGGAGGAATTTTAGCGGAACACTTGCATTCTCATGTGTACAAGCAGATGGTAATGTGCTGCCAAAAGTCCAACAACAGGCTCTGTGGAAAGCTTCTTAAAAAGCCCTGAGATGACTCTTGCCAGTTGGATTGAGCCAGCTTCAACACTCACTGCCCATAGGGTGTAAAAGGTGACCTTCTCTGGAGATGGGAATACCAAAAGGCCATTTCGAGAATATGTATGTGTTATTAGAGGCAGGGATCCTGTAGAAAGAATTAGATAGTGACCCAATTGTGCCCAGGCAATACCATTCATTCTCCTCTGGTGACAACAGCAGGGACTGTTGGCCTAGCTTGGACACAGTCTTGGTCCAGGTAGGAAGTACCATAGAGGTGCTGCCTTGCAGGGAAGGCTCATTCATGCCCATGCTGGACCCCCTGCCTAGAGTTGGGGCTGCAAGTCTTGCTCTGTTTTGTATGAAAGGTGTCTCAGTTCATTAGGTAGTAACATTCTAAATTGGTTTCACAGCACCTACACTGCAATACTAGAATGAAATTAATTTACAAAGCATTCACTTACATATAAAAAGGAAAAAAATGACAATTAAAATCAGACTTGTTACTCTTCTGTTCAGTCGTTTGATCTGGTGCCTTTGTAAAATGGATGGTCAGACAAAGGTATGGCCTGCTCCCCTCACCTGGCCAGCAAGCACTAATCATCATGGGTGTCCACTGTCATGGGCTAACAGCTCCCATTTTGACATGAAGTGTAGAACATGTCCTAGCCAGAACACAACAGTGCATGTGATGGGCTCAGAAGAGGAGATTTAAGCTACAAAGAGCTGCAAGAATTTTCTTATGGTTAGCCTGAAGGATCTACTCTGTGAAACTGGGTGGGTTAACTATAAGTGCATCAACAGCATTACCATTAGCAAAATAAAGAGGGATTATTTTTTTGTTGCAGGGTCCATGGACACCTACAGCTTTCCAGAAGGGAAAGTGCACATGGCCCCTATGGGAGAAGCCCCCGCATACGTGAATACCCAGCACTTCCCTCTGCAGGCTGGACCAGCTGCAGGAAGCAGCACAGAGAGCAGCCCCAGGAAGGACCTCTTTGACATGAGTGGGTTTCCATTTACCTTTAGTTTACTTTTCTTTTGAGGTTGCTTTCTACACTGCTTTTTATTGGAAATCTGGGCAATTACTGAATTTTCTATTAGCTGGGTTTTGATTAACAATGATGACTAGTGGCACTTTTCTGGGTTGTGATTGGACTTTTTAAGGCTTTGAACTTTGGTCAACCTTTGCTTTGGGATTACATCCCTCTGTGTTGTCCAGTGACAAAGTAATTTCCCCCTCTTTTTGGCATTAACTTACCTCTTGAAGATCTGCACATGTACTGATACAAACAATATACATAAATAAATACACTCATTTATTTATTTGCTTAAATATATTAATTGGCTGTTGTGTACAAAGTTATGTCTCAGTTGCTGAGGATGCCAAGGTGAAATGGTATGGCCACTGTCCTCACAGAGCTCTTAGTCTACTGAGCAAGACCAATATAGAACCAATAAATGGCAGCACACCCTTCTTGTATGCATGCACATGCTTGCCTTCCCTCTCATTGTTCTCTTATAATTTCTCTTTCTCTACAACTACAGATCTCTTCCCTTATTTCATTGAACACCTAACATGTGTCAAGTAACATTGTACTCACTGGGTATATTACAGGGAAACAAAGCAAAGTCCCAATTGTCATGGACCTGAAATAACCACTATGTATTATCTGGTAGTAACTAGTGGTGGCTCTCTGAGCCTCTGTTCCAGTTTTAATGATGTCTCACAACTGCAGTTTAGTATTTGTATTTGTGGTCAAACAGTTTTACTGTTTAATTTATTCAATTTATCAGTGAATCCTGGCCCCAGAGCCTGGGGAGAGTTAGACTGGCCTGGGGTTTGAGATAGGGAAATTGAGAACTGGAGCCAACATCTTCTCATCTATCAATTTCTACTCCTACTCCTCAAATTCAAGAAGAGGAGACAAAAGGACAAAAGGGCTCTAAGAGGCTAGTATCTATAGAAAAGTATGGAAAAATAAAGGCAGCACTCTGTTTATTTTGAGTCATTAGTGCTAAATAATGATGGTGGTGATGGTATGATGGTGATGATGGTGGGGATGATGATGATGTTACAGAAAGAGTATAATAAAAATTGTCAACTTCTCCAGGTAATTAGGAAAAAGATAGGGTAAAGAATGAAATAAAATTGTAACCAATAGTTTTAACTTCTTTTTCACTCCAACTATATAAATGATTTAAAAACTGTCAAAATGACATGATTTTTATTTCATTCACCTTATTTCTGCCCATCCCCTACTAACAATAGGTCTTACTTTACAGCACTTAATGAATATTTATAGAGTAGCAACTATGCCAGGAATAATGTAGGGCTTCAGGCATATAATTGTACCCAAGAGAAGGCTATTCTTATTCTTGTGGTGCTTGCATTGTACTGGGTTGGCAGTGTGGCCCCAAATTATAATACCACATATTTGTATGGCACTCTATATATTTTTTCAAAGTGCTTTTGTACAATTATTTATTTGAAAATCAAACACTGAGGTTTCGTTAGATGTACCTGCTGACTTATTTGCCTCTGACATTTGTTGATGTTGGAGCAGAAGTCCTACCATTGGCCATGCCCTGTAGGGAAAGGCATGTTCTGAAGAGCCTGAAGTCAGCTCAACCTCAGCCATGCATACAAAAGCTTTTTCCACAGGGAAACAAGTGAAGGTCAAGGGGAGGTAAGGCTCCTTGTCTGGGGCAAGTCTCACAGGGGGAATCAATAAACATCAATTTTATTTTCTTTTAAAAATTCACCTGATACAAAAATTTTGAAGTAAATATTTGATGGGTTGTGTTTAGCTTTTGCACAAAATCAAAATCTTGCAACTCATCGTTTCCTTTGTGTATTTCCTTTAGTTTGGCAGGTTTTTATTTAGAAGAGGATGTATTTGTTAAAGAGGCTAGCTAATGTTCCCAAAACAGTTGATGCTGTGTAATATGCACAGTCCCCTGAGGCATGCAAAACTGAAGTCATTCTAACCAGCTAGAGAAAGGGTGTGCTCGAATCCTTGACAAAGGCACAGCACTCAGCTGCCTTGGGAAAGTAAATTTATCAGAAGGATTCATGCCAAGATTTGGGCTGTGCTTTCAAGTGCTTGTTTTGATGAGTCTCATTATATTGTCAGCCTGTCATTTGTTTATAGTTCCTTCTTCTGGTAGAGTTGCCTTTGCATTTCCATCACTCACATTGTACTGTTTATCATTTGCTCTTCCTGGGTTCACCTGTTGCTGGCAAATGCTGATGGCAGAACCTTTTGAAGATGCTCTTAAGAACCAGCTCATGGGACCAGTGCTGAGCAAGGCTGCCTCTGTGGAGTGCATCAGCCCTGTCTCACCTACAGCCCTGGATGCTGTGATGCTAGAAGAGCTGAAGGCTGAGCCTTGGTACCAAGGTGAGATGAGCAGGAAGGAGGCAGAGGGGCTGCTGAAGCGAGATGGAGACTTCCTGGTCAGGAAGAGTACCACCAACCCTGGCTCCTTTGTTCTCACTGGAATGCATGATGGCCAGGCCAAGCATCTTCTGCTCGTGGACCCAGAAGGCACGGTGAGCATGGTGACTGCTTTCTATCCTCTTCCCTCAGGTGCCTGTGATGTCCAGATAGTCAATCATTCAGAACCATGAGCCCCAGGCACAAGGTACTAATGCTTTCAAGCCAAAGCTGGGCTACCAGAGCTCACAGTCATGGCCCCTACAATTTATAAAACTTGGAAAATCACCAGGGCACAGGCTGAGAGCCTTAGTTCTTCTTTAATTGTTCAATTATAGTTGTCCCCCTTATCCGCCATTACTGTCCCCTATCCCACCCACTTCCCCTCCCATGTTCAATCCTCCCTCCACCCCTTGTCCTTGTCCATGGGTCCTTTATACATGTTTCTTGACTTGAATTCTTTAAAATAAACAGAAACTGATTAAGTTTTTCTCCCAAATACATTCATAGTGGACAAGGAGGTACACAAGGCTCCTGAGCTTTTAATACTTTCAAATATTTTAAAAAGTTGAATCCCAGGCTTTTCTTTGTAGGTGGTAAGTGGGATGAAACAGTATGTAATCCCTGCTCATTAGTGTTGTGCCCACCCGAAGAAGTGATGCCGTATGACAGCAAGCTCAACAGCACAGCTGGGTCTCAATGATTCTGTGACTTTAACTAAATATCCCATCATCTAGTCAATAAATATATCTGACATCATTTTGGCACAATCTAAGATTGCTAAGTTTAATAATTATAATTATTTAACCTAACCATTGAGTAAATTCCAAGATTGTTGTTTAAAATCTTTTATCCAGTGAAAACAAAGAAGCAGGTGGAGTTATCCAAATCGTGATTAAGAACATTGCATTTTTTTATTGCTAAGTAGAGATGAAGACTTAGTCTTCAACTGCATGTGGTGAACATAATTTACTTGTATGTTTCTGGGGAGGGGCAGTGTTACCTGAGATGATTTGTTACCTCAGGTGTCTAGACTAAGTTGACCACACACCTCAGCTCTCTAGACATTGTCTCCACACCTCCTCTTCCTCCACCACCTGGCCACCACCTCTGTGAATGTAAATGTAGAGCTTTCCAATTTGCCATCTTTCATTGTGTGGAGTTTTAAAAAATATATGAAGAGTGGGGAAAATATATATGTTGTGTTTATACATATAAAAAATTTGCCAAAGTGATATTGTACCACAAATTCCATTTCATCTCTTTCTTTTTCCCCTGGGCACATGTTTCTGAGGTCTGTCAGTGGTGACTTCTATACAATGAAGCGTACCTTGGGTATGTGGCCTGCGCTCCCTATACATGGTCCACACATAACTTCCTAAACTGTCTGTGAAGACCTGAGGCACTGGAGACACTACCAGATCTTGTGCCTGTTCTCCTGTACCCAGGACAGTGTCTCTGGGGTACATTCTTGGAGTGGAGAGTTTGTGGTCACAGAATATACATGCATTTAATTTCACCATTGTTTGCATTTGCTTCCAGAAGGGCTGTACTACCTACATGAACATCAGTGGGGCACAAGGGGTCTCACATCCTCCTCTTCCTTGATGTCACCCCTCTGGTGTTGCTCTCCTGTTAGAACAAGTGATTGAAGTGGTGTCTCATTGTGTGCTGTGCAGTTTGTTGAATACACTTCATCCATAGGTTTCTCCTGTGCATTTTATGTTCCAATCTTTTCTCCATATTTCTGTTTTAGCATTCTTATGGGCCTTTTTTGTTAAGTTTCTCAGTCATAGAATTTCTATATGTACTCTTTCAGTTTTCCACCTATTGGATAATTTTGTCTGAAATACCTTTTTTTTTCTAGTTTGTGAAGATTCATTTATTTTTTCTGCATTTTTTAATTGTTCAAGTACAGTTGTCTCTATTTTCTCTCCACCTCTCACCCTGCCCTGCCATCACCACTTCCCACCCTTGATCCTAGCCCCCTTTGGTTTTCATCAAATAGAAGTATTTCTTTGGAATGTAGCCAAATCCATCAATTTTTCCCATTACAATTTATGTTTTGAATTTTAAAAGATTTCCTCACCTGCAAATCACAGATATATTTTTCTATATTTTCTCCTATGAGCTTTATAGTTTTATCTTTCACATTTGCAACTGTGGTTACTTTTGGAGATAATTTAAGATAGGGGCCCAACATTAAAAAAAAATCTCCATGTAGTGATCCAATTTTTTATCACTATTTACCAAGTAATTTACCTTTTTCTGTAGTACTGTTGCTCTTCCCATTACATACTAAGTTCCCTTTTCCTTTGTCATGGGTCTGTTTCTGCATTATCAATTCTATTCTATTAATCTCACAGTTTATTATTCCTTGTACAAATACCATACTGTGTTAGTCACTATGGCTTTGAAACTATCTTAATCTCTGGTAATATGAATCCTTCATCTTGATTCTTCTTGTTGTAAGTTGTGTTACCTATTTTCTAACACTTATTCTTTTTTGTTTTGATTTTAGATTTATTTTATTAAGTAAGTGAAAGAGAAAGAGAGAGAACAGGTTGGGGTTTTGATAGTATTTGCATTGAATTTGTAGATTAATCGGGAGGAGTTTGCAAGGTGGCAATGTTGTAGGAGGACCTTTCTCTCACCTCCACCCAGAACAAAACTGGAAATAAAACTAAATAGAGGGACAGTCACCCAGAGTTATAAACTGAAGACTACTGAAGAGGAGGAGCAGAAACCACCTCAAAACAGGCAGAAAGGGTGGGGATGACCCCAATCCAACAGACAGCAGGTCAAGGATACAAAGGGATAGTGTAGCTATGAAAGCTTTCCCTGAAAGGACTAAAGCCTGGACCCCAGACCAGGCTCCTCTACATAGAGTACCTACCAGAGCTGGGATCATCCACCTGTGTAGAATTCAGGGGTGAAAGGCAGCAGGGTATCTATCTGCTGGGGAAAGATAGAGCCCTGTGGAGACAAAGTGACATTTTTTAAAAGGATCCAAAGCACAAATTTCTCATTGGCAGCCACTCACCCTGGGCTTTGGGGAAGGGAGGGCACTGTGGCCTGGAGTCATCTGAGAGTCTAGAGTAGGAGGCATTAGTGAGAAATGTGGGAGAGCAGCTGCCAGGATCCCTGTGTGGGGTCATCCCCCTGTATTGCAGTAGCCATTTTTCTTGAGAAGAGCAAGCCCCTCCCAGGGGAATAAGCCTGTGGAAAAACAATTATCCCACCCTCTATTATCCCACTCATCACACCCTGGGGGATGTTTCTCTCCCCACCCTGTGTCTTTTTTCTACCACCCTACATCTTAATCCCTGCTGAGAAGACAGCAACACAGGCAGACTGGCTGGCGGGGGGGGGGGGGGGGGGGCGGGTGTTAGAGGGGTTCAGGGACTGGATTTGGGGCGTGACCATTTCCTGCACTTTCCTGAGAACTGGACTGGTGCTTCTGCCTTACAGGAGAGTGGATAGAAATACCTGATAGAAACACACTCCTGATTTCAGGCAGACCCAAACTCTGGACTCCAGAGACCCTACTTGTCTGCCTACTAAGGGCTCTACTCTGCCAAATTCAGGGACATAATCCAGGATATACTGAGATATGAGACTCTGGGGCAGTGGAACACACCCACCATCTTCCTTGAAGTCTAAATAGCACCCTGTCCCCTTATGGAAGATTCAGGGGTTTCATCCTCCCAAAGTTGCCAGAAGTCCTTTCAGGAAGCAGCTCTTTCAGTGACTAAATCTGACAGCCAATCAACAGTAGAGGCAGGTAGAAGCAGATCTTGTGGTACCTTAGGATATTTGCTGACCCACCTCTGGTCTTGTGCCTTGGGGCATAGCTTGGCCCCTTTCATGTGCAGCCAAGCCTGGTGGAGGCATCCACAAGCTGTGGGTAACTTGCAGCTTTGACCAGGCTTCTGGGGACCAGATGTGGACAGCATCTGACACTGGCTCACACAAGCTTCAGATAACATGGGAAGATATCCAAAGGGAAATCCCAGAAGGCAGGCACTACACTCTACTGAGATGAATTTCATTTTGTTCTTTTTCATTATTTTTATTATTTTTTCTTTTCTTTAAAATTTTCTCTCTACTTTTTCTTTCACATCTCATATTTTACTCTTTCCTCTTCATACTCTATTTTTTCTTTTCTTATTTTTTATTTTTCTCCTTTCTTTGTTCTTTTTTGGGGGTTTCTCTTTCTATTGCTTATTCTTATCATTTTTCTTCCTTCTTGCCTCTCCTAATCTTTTTTCTTTCTTTTTTTAGCATTTTATTTTTATTGTATTTTTCCATTAGCATTTAGCCCCCTTATACCTCACACCCCCCTGCAATCACCACACTATTGACTATGTCTGTGAGTCTTTTTTCCTTTTTGCCGAATCCCTCCACACCTTAACCTCCACGTCCTTAGCTATGGAGATAGCATCCTGCTTGCTATCTATGAGTCTGTCTCTATTTTGCTTGTTAGTTCTCTTTGTTCATTAGATTCCACATACGAGTAAAATCACATGGAATTTTTGTGACTGGCTTATTTCACTTAACACGATGTTCTACAGGTCAATCCATACTGCTGCAAAAGGTAACATTCCTTTAATTTTTATGGCTGAGTGGTATTCCATTGTGTTAATGTTCCATAGTTGTTTTATCCATTCATCTACTGGTGAACATTTGGACTTTTTCCATGTCTTGGCAATTGTAAATAATGCTGCAATGAACATAGGCGTGCTTATATTCTTTCAAATTACTGTTTTAGGTTTCTTTGAATATATTCCCAGAAGTGGGATCACTGGGTCAAAAAGCAGATCCATTCTTAATTTGTTGAGAAAACTCCATATTACTTTCCACAATGGCTGCACCAATCTGCATTCTCACCAACATTGCAAAAGGATTCTCCTTCCTCAATATCCTCTCCAGCACTTGTTTTTTGTTGATTTATTGAGGATAGCCATTCTGATAGATATGAGATGATATTTCATTGTGGTTTTAATTTCTATCTTTCTGATGATTAAGATGTTAGCAACTTTTCATATGTCTGTTGGACATCTGTATGCCCTCTTTGGACAAGTGTATATTAAGGTCATTTGCCCACTTTGTAATTGGGTTTATG